CCTTAACCAGATAATTGTGGTTACCGCCAACAATAATAGACATAACGACATCACGTAACCTTTGAGATGAGGCACTGGGAAGTATGCAACACCACTTCTGTGGTATTTTTGCCAAAAAGGGTAACCTCAATCTAATCAGGAGGGAAAAAAAACACACCAGATAAACTCAATCTGAGGGACAGTCTACAGAAAAATTCACCAGCACTCATCAAAGACGTCAAGAGCATGAAAGACAGGACAAGACTAAACCGTCACAGATTGGAGGAAACTAAAGAATGACCATTAAATGTTATGTGACCTCCTGAGCCAGGAAAAGGACCAAATAAGTTCTGTAGTTGGGTTAATAATAGTGTATCAATGTGACGTTCCCGGGTTTGATCATTATACTGTGGTCCATAAGATGTTAACCCTGGAGGAAGGTGGATGAAGAGTATTTAGGAACTTGTGTTTCTCCAACTTCTCTTGTAAGCCTTAAAATCATTTCAAAGTACAGATTAAAATAAATAAATGCATCCAGCAGTTCTTTAACTCATAACTTTTATCTCAATGCAGTTTCTATTGAGTTTGTGCCTTTAGTGGTTTCTCCACCAGCTGAGCTCCAAGATAGAGACTCAGGTATAATTTATTTGGGACATGACCCTGGGAAGCATGACAAAGGCAGTGAGGATGTGAGAAATGGAAGGGAAGGGAATGAATAATGAGGATGTTAATAAGCAAGTAATGATGGTGGGCAACTGAGGCTGAGGACTTTGCCTCAGAGTCCTCCTTCCAGAAGGATAAGTGAGCTGGAGTATTTAACCATTAACTCTGATCAGTCATTGGAGATGTGGTGGTATCATCATTCCTGGGCATGCCTGCCTGCCTTCTATGTGGGCAGGGAGGACTTTGATGGTCAGGAAAAGTCTTGAGGTGGCTAAGTGTCTCAGATGCTGGGCATTGGACGTGTGGGGGCTGGTACACCCAGAAACATGCATCAGTCAGCTTAGGTTGCGTTGCAGTAACAAACAATCCCAAAACAGCTTAGAACAACAAAAGCTATTGCTTGCTTATATGACAGGTCTGTGAGGGTGGGCTTCTGATATTCCCAGTCACGTGTGGGTCTGGGGTATGGTTCCTTCTAAAGCTCTTGAGTGGTTCTTTCTTGGCCTCATATAATTTCTCCCCGTGCATGTACCAATCAAAACTCCACCAAAGATCAAATTGTGGGGGGGGACTTCCCTGGTGGCGCAGTGGTTAAGAATCCACCTGCCAATGCAGGGGACAGGGTTCAGTCCCTGGTCCGGGAAGATCCCACACGCTGCAGAGCAGCTGAGCCTGTGCACCGCAACTACTGAGCCTGAGCTCTAGAGCCCACGAGCCATAATTATTGAAGTCCTTGCGTTCTAGGGTCCGCGTGCCTCAACTACTGAAGCCCGCGCACCTAGAGTCTGTGCTCCGCAACAAGAGAAGCCACCACAATGAGAAGCCCGCGCACCACAACGAAGAGTATCCCCCTCTTGCTGCAGCTAGAGAAAGCCCAAGCGCAGCAGTGACGACCCAATGCAGCCCTCCCCCACCAAAAAAAAGACTGAACGGAGACCGTCTAGAGATTCTTAGAGCTCTCTCTATTCAGTTCTCTCTTCTTGGGACACTGTCCGTTGAATTCTAGCCTTTTCAGCCTGCCTGAATTCCCAACTCTATCTCCTCAAGCCAGTGAGAACTCAGAGCTCTGCTTGGGTTTACCTTCCCTGCACTGCAGACTGGAAACTCCTTCCAGGCAGTCAGCTGGGCCAATTGTAGGGCTCACCTTGTTTCTCCCCTTTCAAGGACTACTGCATTACACTTATCTCCAGAGACTGAAAATAATTCTTTCATGTACTTTGTCCAGTTTTTCACTTACTTCAAGCAGGAGCTGGTACCACATCTTGGCTGGAAATTATCATGGGGATCTCTTAATTCCGTCTTTACAAACACAAGCTGGTAAGTAGGAATTGTAATAATTACTGGAGGGATTTTTCTTGAGAAAAGCCATTCCAGCATTCACTGAATTTGGACAGTGTGATGCCTGGATCATTTTTGTTTTCAACACAGTTCAACGGTTTCCATTTTTTCCCCCTTTGTCCCCTTTTATTTCACTGGAATTATTTTTAATAATCAATTATGCTAGCCTCATAGAATGAGCCAGAAAGAATTCTCTCCTCTGCATGCCAGGTGCATGGCTGGGAGCCAAGGTTCTGGAATTCCTCTGTGGGCAAGTTAGTAAGAATCTGCTACACTATGCCCCAAATAGCAAATACACCCCAGCACCTCAGCAATGTAACACAACACAGTCATGGCCAAAACACGCTCTTGCAAAACTGTTGCAGACCAGAGAAGCTATCTTGCATCCAAGTTGCAATTGTGGGTTCCAGCGTTGCCAAGGGGAGAGAAGAGTGTGCAGGGAGGTGACCACCAATCGTTCTTAAATGTCCCAGTCTGGAAATGACGCGGTCAGTCTAGTCTCAGCCCATCTATTTACCAGGCGTGGTTCTGATGCACTGCTTGAAATGAGTCCCATGAGCCCATCCTGAATTTGGTTCAGTTCCCCCAGACGCAGGCCTTAAGACAAGGATTTCAGTACAAGAGGTTGATTTGTTGTGTCATCCTCAGAGGGCACTAGGAGAGAAGGGAAGGAAGCCATAAGAAAGCATTATTTTTTTTAATTTTTATTTATTTTTTGGCTGCATTGGGTCTTCATTGCTGCACACAGGCTTTCTCTAGTTGCGACGGGCAGGGGCTACTCTTCATCGCGGTGCGGCTTCTCATTGCAGTGGCTTCTCTTTTTGCGGAGCACAGGCTCTAGGTGTGCGGGCTTCAGTAGCTGCAGCACACGGGCTCAGTGGTTGCAGCACGTGGGCCCTAGAGCACAAGGGCTTCAGTAGTTGTGGCTCGCGGGCTCTAGAGCGCAGGCTCAGTAGTTGTGGCACACGGGCTTAGTTGCTCCATGGCATACGGAATCTTCTCGGAACAGGGATCGAACCGTGTCCCCTGCATTGGCAGGCGTATTCTTAACCACTGTGCCACTAGGGAAACCCCAAGAAAGCATTATTGGCATTATTGAGCAGGTGGCTTATTCCTCTTGCTAACCTCTAAAAGCTCTGAAACATGCCTCAGAGTTGTCTAAGTCAAGAGCAGAGAGAGTTGGGATATTACCCACCAACTCTTTGAGATTTATCTCGTACAACACATCCATAAGTACAACACGTGGTAGACAGAATAACATCCCCCCTAAAGATACCCATGTCCTAATCCCCAGGACTTACTTATGAATACTTTATGTTACATGGAAAAGCAGGAAGTAAGGTTGAGGGTAGAAATAAGGCCCCTAATCCGCTGACCTGAAAATTGTGAGATTAGACTGCATTATTCAGGTGGGCCCAATGTAATCACCGGGTCCTTTAAACGTGGAAGAGGGAGGGCATTCCCTGGTGGTCCAGTGGTTAGGGCTCCGTTCTTCCACTTCAGGGGGCGAGGGTTCGATCCCTGGTCATGGAACTAAGATCCCACAAGCCGCGCAGCGTGACCAAAAAAACAATTAAATGTGGAAGAGGGAGGGAGAAGAGTCAGGGTTTGAGCAAATGCAGGGTGAGAAAGCCTTAGTCTTTGCTGGCTTTGCAGAAGGAGGGAGGGAGCTCCCAGCCAACGACTGCAGGCAGCTTCTAGAAGCTGGAAAAGGCAAGAAAGCAGATTCTCCCCGCTAACCTCCAGAAAGGAAGGCGGCCCTACTGACACCTTGATTTCAGGCCCATGAGACCCATTTTGGACTTCCAACTTGCAGAACTGTAAGATAATACATTTGTGTTGTCTTAAGCTACTAAGATTGTGGTAATCTGTTACAGCATCAATAGGAAACTAATACACATGCCTAGAAATAATGTGTTTGTTTGTTTGTTTTAATTCAGGGACTTCCCTGGTGGTCCAGCAGGAACCAACTGGACTGTGGAGTTATGACTCCACACTTCCAATGCAGGGGGCCCAGGGTTCGATCCCTGGTCAGGGAACTAGATCCCATGTGCTGCCACTAAGACCCAGCGCAGCCAAATAAATAAATAAGTACAAATTTAGAAAACAAATTATATGAAGAAAATCATAAACCTTTACTGAAGGACATTTTTAAAGTACCCGAATAGGGGAGGGAGGGTGGGGGGAGGATGGATTGGGAGTTTGGGGCTAGCAGATGCAAATTATTATATATAGAATGGGTAAACAAGATCCTACTGTATAGCACAGGGAGCTATATTCAATATCCTGTAATAAACCACAACGGAAAATAATATGAATAAAAAAATATATATGTACAAAATCACTTTCCTGTACACTGGAAACTAACACAACGTTGTAAATCAACCTTACTTTAATAAAATATATTTTGGAAAAAGTAAAGTAGCTGAATAAATAATTGGTTCATGAATCAATGAACACATAGATAGCTAGACAGACACATACATACCTATATGTATTGTACATATATACATATATGTATATATGTACTTTCCCAACCAAAATTACAAACTGATTCAAAACTGTATCTGGGAAATAAAATACACAGTAGTAGAGAAAAACGTATTGAAAAAAGACAATGTCCTAATGTACATCAAACAGATTATCAAACTATAGTAACTGAAAAAAAAAACTATAGTAACTGAAACAGTGGCAAGGAAGAAAAATAAGTTCGATGGGACACATAATGCAATGTTTGACTTTATTAAGGGGATGTCATGGGGGGGGCTGAGGCGGGGCTGAGACCATCAATAGATGAAAAAGGATGGTCTGTAGCCTATGGTGGGATGGGTCTTAGGGGATAAGGGGGTCTCAGAATCTCCCTCAGGATCTCGAAGACCTCCGTACAGGAGGGGGATGGGAATTCACCAAAGGGAAAAACAGAAACGGGTGGGGCCTGAGAGAAACCAGCAGACCGCATGTCTCAGTTGCCTGATCTCTGCGAACCGGGACAGGGTGGGGTGCGGGGGAGGCAGTGACCCTCAGAGGGCTGGGCAGGGAGCCGAGGGCTTCTCACAGATCCAGGAGTTTTGTGTGCTACATTTGCCATCATTCCAGCCATCGTTGTACAATTCCACACAGTCCTCATCTTCGTGGTTGTTGGGTTCCCCTTTTTTCCAGAAGCTGTGAACCCCATGAGAGCTCTGAGCCCCCTACTCCTCCCAGAGCCCACCCCCAGGCCCCCCTTTGGAGGAGCTGGTCCCTGGGCTTTGGCAGCAAATTGCCAAGAACCAGCCAGAGGGTGGTGAGGAGTTTGGAGGCAGGGTTTTGGAAATGTGGGTTAGGGTTAGAATCCACCTCCATTAGCATCAGCTCTGGCAAAGTTAAAATGCAGATTCTTGGGCCCTTACCCAGACTTACAGAATCCGAAGCCCCCACCAGTACCACTCCCACCCCCACCCCCAGAATGAAGGCAGGACTCTGCATCTTCACCAAGCTCCTCGGGTGATACTTTCCAGTCCCAGAGTCTGAGCAACCCTGCTTTGAAGGAGGGGCGTCCCTGCCCACACCCTCGGGCCATTGTCACTGGGAGGTCACCTGAGTTGGAGTGGGCTGTTGTCCACCCATTTCCAGGAACCCTCATTGTGGTGGTCACTGAGGCCAATCCAGGTGGGTTTATTATATCTGACGTACCAAATCTTCAGGAATTTCTGGGGATGGGGGTGGGGAGAGGGTTATCAGGAGGAAGATCCCTGAATGCCACGCGTCCCATGTCTGCCCACGTTCCCATGGTCCCCTGCCTCCCATGGAAGTTCCTTTCACAGTCTAGCCTATAGCCCCTACTCCAGTTGTATGTGTTCACATGTGCATGGAGGCTGTGGATGTGTGTTAGTATACATACGTGTGTGGATATGTGTTAACTTGTGTCTCAGTTGACATACATTATGTGTGGTCTCGAGGGTACTCTAAATTCCTTTTCTGTCCAGACATGGGCTCCTCTCAAACATGTTCTTCTCTCACTTGACCTTCCCGAGTCCATTATGGTTCCTCCTCCAGGAAGTCTTCCCTGACTGCCTCTCACCGCTCACTCCCATCTGCTCCCTGGACCTTCATCTCTCGGAGGGCAGAGGAGTGCAGCAGAAAGCTCTTTGTTGACCAGTCATATGGCCCAGCCCCAAGGGGAACCTTGCCCGGCCCACCTGCTCCTCAGGACTCTTGATGATCACCAGCTGGGCCCCAATGTCCTGACAGGAGGAGACAGCAGATTTCCAGTCACGCTGGGTCCAGGAGAATAAGTAGCAGCTCCCCTGGAAGAGTTCCCAATTCCAAGGACAGGGATGGCACAGGCCAGCTGGGAAGGAGGAATGGGGTTGGGACAGAGAGGTCACGTGGCTCCTAGGCCCCAGACACCTGCATCAGATCTTGGGAACCTAGGACCAGCCCCTATGTTCAGCTGTCAGCTCAATCCCCAAGAAATCCATGAGAAAGAACCCAGCTCTGCCCTGCCCTCCTCAGCGTGGCAGCCATAGAAGGTGGGTCCCAGCCCCACCCACAATCCTGTGACTTCCTCTTGACCTTGACATGGGACCCTTACCCAGGGTGGCATTCATCCAGGTCAGGTGCTGCAGGATCTCCTCCAGGTGTGATTGCATCTGCCCCTGTGCAACATCAGCTGGAGGGAGAGGACCTCAATTATTAAGCACCTATTGTGTGCTCGGTGCAGAGAGGGCCCCACGAGAACATTATGTATGGATCTCACAGGAACCTGAAGAGCCCATGACACAAAGAAACTGAGGCTTAGAGAGTGACTTGCCCAACATCACCAGCCCCCAGGACCTCTTGCAGGGCTCCAATCCACTCCCCCATTCCTGCCCTCTCTCCTTCACCCCTGGTGGTGATGGCTGGTCCAAGGTCATGCTCCCTCGGAGCCCCATCCCCTCTTGGACTCCGGAACCCGACGTCCAGCCCCTCATCCAGGCTGTTGTTCTCCACGTGGTGGTCCCCCAAATCTCTCTGCAGGAACTGAATCCTGGAAACTACAACAGAGCAGAGAATTCCCCCTTTATGAGCGCCGACTCTATCCCTGAGCCAGTGCCAAGTCCGGTTTCAAGGTCTCAGGGAAACTAAGCTCCCCATAGAGGAGGATGCACTGCATTTCACGTGAGGAAACAGGATCAGAGAGGGGGAGTAACTGGCCCATGGTCACACAGAAGGTGACACGGAGCCCAAACGCCCCAGCCCTAGTATGTCTGGGGAATGTGGAAAAGGGCAAAGACCATCCCAGAGAGAAAACCCAAAGGGACCCAGGACTCCAAACCCCCAGATGCTGACTCACCTTGAACCAGGGTGGTCAGCTGGAGCATGAAGAAAGCCAGTGAGATGAAGAGCAGCAGGGGAAGCAGAGGGTTCTGGGTCAGACACCCTGCAGGACCAGCAGATGGGCAGAGCTTGGGGCTCAGGGGCAGACCCTGTCCCACCCCACCCCCAACCACCCCCTTCCCCAGTTGCCTGCTCCTGAACCAGCCGCTCTGGTACCTGGTGAGCTCCTCAAATTGCTTAGGAGTCCAGGGTGTCTCTCAGCCAATGTCTGGCCCCCAAATATCTCCTCTTCTGAATAGGACAGAGCACATGCAATTGAACTTGGAAGCCTGCTGAGCCCTCTCTCAGAACTGCAAGCTGGATACCAGACCCTCCCCATTCCCTGCAAGCTGAAGGCCAGGCCCCAGCACCCTCAGGACACTGGGGCCCTGTCATCCCCACCATCACCCCAGACTTGGGGTCCAGCCTCACCGGAGCCACCCGGTTCCTTGGGGTTATGCATCTCTGCCATCCTCCTTTCCTCTCTGCCTCTCTTTCTAACTCCTCTCTGAACTATGGTTTTTATAACCCCACGTATTTCCCTCTGTAGCCCTTCCTCAGATCTGTTCTTTCTCAACTCAGGAAGAATGAGGAACAGGATGGGGATAGCACTTCCTCTCAGAAAAATCCGGGGAGGGATAAAGCGCCTGACACAACTGAGAGGTCAGTTAGGATCGGGCAGAAGCTGTGCAGTCAATTTTGGTGCCAGAAGGCACTGTTCCAACCCCTATCCAGTCCTGGGACCTTCAGCCTCACATTCTCAGAGCCTCAGTTTCCTCAACTGTGAAACGGGACAATTACCCTGCCTCACACTGTAATTGTAAGGTTTAATACAGCGCACTAGTAATGGGTATAAATTGCCTATTCTAATGATGAATACTCAGAAATAACAGCACTTAAGCATGTGCCCACTGTTCCCCCTGGTGTGTGTTCTCCCTCACTGTAGCAAGTAATAAGCCCGGATTTGTTAACAACAGGTGTGTTCCTAGTGGTCTAACAGTTCTCACAATAGCCCTATGAAGTAGATAGCTATTATACTGCTTTACAGATGAGGAAACTGAGAAACAGAGTGGGCAAGCAACTGCCTGAGGTCACATAGCTCAAAAGCAGTGGGGCTGGGAGTTGACCCATGAGTCCCTGCTTAACCACTACACAAAGTAGTTACTTTTTTCTCCTTTGTAGTTACTATTTTGTAGAGAGTCACTTTGAAACTTTTTGTATTGAGCTTCCAATTTATTTCTGTATGGACCCTGGTCTCCTATCTGATGCAATTGGGTGTATGTTACAATCTTTTTTTTTTTTTAATCTAAAGTGAGTTTCTTGGGGCTTCCCTGGTGGCGCAGTGGTTAAGAATCCCCCTGCCAATGCAGGGGACACGGGTTCAAGCCCTGGTCCAGGAAGATGCCACATGCCGCAACTAAGCCTGTGCACCACAACTACTGAGCCTGCGTGCCACGACTACTGAAGCCCACGTGCCTAGAGCCCATGCTCTGCAAAAAGAGAAGCCACCACAATGAGAAGCCTGTGCACCGCAACCAAGAGTGACCCCCCTCGCCACACTAGAGAAAACCTGTGTGCAGCAACGTAGACCCAACGCAACTAAAAATAAATAAGTAGAACAAATAAATTTATTTTAAAAAATAAATAAATAAAGTGAGTCTCTTGTAGACAGCATATAATTGCATCATCTTTTTTATTCATTCTGTCAATCTCTACCTTTTAATTGGGGAATTTAACTCTTTTATATTTAATGTATTACTGATAAGGTAGGGTTTCTATCTGCCATTTTGCTCTTTGTTTTTTATATGTCTTATTTCTTTTTCGTTCCTCAGTTCCTTCGTTACTACCTTTTCTCATGTTAAATAGATTCTTTCTTCTTTTTTTTTAATTGAAGTATAGTGATTTACAATGTTGTATTAGTTTCTGGTGTACACCAAAGTTATTCAGTACATATATATTCTTTATTCATATTCTTTTCCATTACAGTTTATTACAAGATATTGAATGTACTTCCCTGTGCTATACAGTGAATCGTTGTTGTTTATCTATTTTATATACAGTAGTTTTTAATATAGTAGTTCACCCTCTCCAGCATTTTTTTTCCCATTTATTTATTTATTTTTGGTTGCGTTGGGTTTTCATTGCTGCACACGGGCTTTCTCTAGTTGCGGTGAGCAGGGGCTACTCTTTGTTGCAGTGCACAGGCTTCTCATTGTGGTGGCTTCTCTTGTTGCAGAGCACGGGCTCTAGAATGCTCAGGCTTCAGTAGTTGTGGCCCACGGGTTTTGTTGCTCCATGGCATAAGGGATCTTCCCTGACCAGGGCTCAAACCCATGTCCTCTGCATTGGTAGGCAGATTCTTAACCACTGCACCACCAGGGAAGCCCTCCAGCATATATTATTTGTAGCTTTTAAATTTTATTTTTAAAATTATTTATTTATTTATTTATTTATTTTGGCTGCACCAGATCTTAGTTGCAGCATGTGGGATCTTCATTGCGACACGTATTGCAGAATCAGTTCCCCGACCAGGGATTAAACCCGGGCCCCCTGAATTGGGAGCTCAGAGTCTTACCCACTAGACCACTAAGGAGGACCCCTGTAAATTTTTAATGGTGGCTATTCTGACTGGTGTGAGGTGGTACCTCATTGTAGTTTTGATTTGCATTTCTCTAATAACTAGCAATGTTGAGCATATTTTCATGTGCCTATTGGCCATCTGTGCATCTTCTTTGGAGGAATGTCTATTTAGTTCTTCTGCCCATTTTTTAAAATTCTCTTGTTCTTTTATTTAACCAGTTTTTTTAAAATAGATCTTTATTGGAGTATAATTGCTTCACAATACTGTGTTAGTTTCTGTTGTACATCGAAGTGAATCAGCCATATGCATACATATGTCCCTATATCCCCTCCCTCTTGAGCCTCCCTCTCATCCTCCCTATCCCACCCCTCTCAGTCATCGCAAACACCAGGCTGATCTCCCTGTGCTATGCTGCTGCTTCCAACTAGCTAAATATTTTACATTCAGTAGTGTATATATGTCGATGCTACTCTCACTTTGCCCCAGCTTCCCCCTCCCACCCCGTGTCCTCAGGTCCATTCTCTATGTCTACATCTTTATTCCTGCCCTGCAACTAGTTTCATCAGTACCGTTTTTTTTTTTTTTTTAGATTCCATATATATGCGTTAGCATACAGCATTTCTTTTTCTCTTTCTGACTTATTTTCTTAGTGGTTGCCCTGGGGTTTACTATTAACATTGTTAATTTATAACAATCTAGTTCAGAGTAATATCACCTTAATTTTAATAATATACAAAACTTTGCTCCTATTTAGTTCAATTTCTGCCTCCTTTTGTGCAGCTATTATCACAAATTACATCTTTGTACACATGTGCCCATCAACTTAGATTTCTAATGATTGCATTATACAGTTGTCTTTTAAATCAGATGGAGGAAAAAAGGAGTTGCAAACCAAAAATACATGTATACTGTCGTTTATATTTACCTGTGTAGTTACCTTTGTTGGTGCTTTTTATTTCTTCATGTGGATTTGAGTTACTATCTAGTGTTCTTTCATTTCATCCTGAAATACTCCTTTCATTTCTTTTATTGTGGGAAAATACACGTAACATAGATTTTACCATCTGAACCGTACAGTTGAGTAGCATTTAGTACATTCATAACGTTGTGAATTTTGTGCAACCATCACCAATATCTAGCTCCAGAACATTTTCATCACCCCAAAAGTAAACCCCATACCCATTAAGCAGTCACTCCCCATTTCCACCTCCCCCCCAGAGCCAGAAACCACTAATCTACTTTCTGTCTCTATGGATTTACTTATTCTGGATTTACCTATTTACCTATTTCATATATATGGAATCATACAACACCCTTTTGTGTCTGGCTTCTTTTGCTTAGCATAATGTTTTCAAAGCTCATGCATGATGTGATGTTTATCAGTACTGTATTCCTGTCTATGGTGGAATAAAGTAGTTTTGCTGGATATAGAATCTTTGACTGACAGGTGTTTTTCTTTCAGCGTTTCAAATATGTCTTCCCACTGCCTTCTGGCCTCCACAGTTTCTGATGAGAAATACACTGTTAATCTAATTGAGGATCACCTGTACATAGTGAGACATTTTTCTCTTGCTGTGTTCAAGATTCCCTTTGTCTTTGAACAGTTTGGTTATTATGTGTCTAAGTGTGGATCTCTTTGAATTTATCCTCCTTGGAGTTCATTTAGCTTCTGGATATGTAGCCTAACATTTTCATCAGATGTTGGATGTTTTCAACTGTTATTTCTTCAAATATTCTTTCTGCCCCTTTCTGTCCTTATTCTCCTTCTGACACTCCCATTATGCATATGTTGGTATGCTTGCTGGTGTTCCACATGTCTCTGATGCTCTGTTAATTTATTTTCTGTTCCTCAGACTGGATAATCTCAATGGATCCATTTTCATTTTTTGCTGATACTTCCTTCTACCTACTCAAATCAATAGCAATTTGTCCTCTAGTAAAATTTTCATTTCAGTTATTGTACTTTTATTGATTGATTGATTGATTTTTGCCTGCATTGGGTCTTCATTGCTGTACGTGGGCTTTCTCTATTTGCACCAAGCAGGGGCTACCCTTCCTTGTGGTGCACGGGCTTCTCATTGAGGTGGCTTCTCTTGTTTCAGAGCTCAGGGTCTAGGCACATGGGCTTTGGTCATTGTGGCACCCAGGCTCAGTAGTTGTGGTGCACGGGCTTAGTTGCTCTGTGGTATGTGGGATCTTCCCAGACCAGGGCTCAAACCCATGTCCCCTGCATTGGCAGGTGGATTCTTAACCAGTGTGCCACAAGGGAAATCCCTGTACTTTTTAACCCCAGAATGATCTACATTGTTCCTTTTTATAATTTCTATCTCTTTATTGATATCCTCTAGTTAGTGATACATTATTCTCATACTTCTCTAGTTTATTAAATATGATTTACTTTTGTTCATTGATCACTTTAAAAACAGCTGATTTGAAGTCTTTGTCTAGTAACCAATATCTGGACTTTCTCAGGGACAGTTTCTATTCACTTTTTTCATGTGTACGGGTAATATTTTCTTGTTTCTTTGTATGTCTCATAATTTTTTGTTGAAAACTGGACCTTTCAAATGCAAGCATGCCTCATTTTATGGTGCTTCACTTTATTAGGCTTTGCAATAATGCGTTTTTTTACAGTTGAAGGTTTTTGGCAACTCTAAGTTGTCAGATGATGATTAGTAAGTTTTAGCAATAAAGTATTTTTAATTAAGGTATGTACAGTGTTTTTTTAGACATAATGCTATTGCACACTTAATAGACTACAAAATAGTGTAAACATAACTTTTATATGCACCGGGAAACCAAAAAATTTATGTGGCTTTGCTTTATTTCAATATTTGCTTTATTGTGCTAGTCTGGAACCAAACCCAAAATATCTGTGAGGTATGCCTTGT